TTAATTCTAAATTAATTTTAAAACTAATTTAGAGAGCAAAATAAATTTTAAACAAGTCTAACTTAATAAAATTTTCAAAGTGCAAATAACCAAAATAATTCCAAGAACCATTCTTAATTAAATTGGTTTAGCTTCGTGCAACATAAAATTGAGGCAATTTCTCACTTTCAATTTAATCAATTTAAATTAAACTTCAGAATTTGACAAAGTAAAGGGAAGTTGGAAAAATATGAACTTTAATGCTCATAATGAAAATTCCAACATCTAAATTTTTGTGAATCCTTGAAAATTATATCTTCCAACATGAAGATAACCAAATTTCTATCACAAAAATCGAAACTTTATGTTTCCAATCAACTCAAAATGATTAAAACATCAAAGTTTAACACAAAATAACATGGAATTTAGTGGTTTTTAAAGTTACAATCACTTATCACAAATAAAGATTGAATCTTTAACACTTAGGAAGCCTCAAAATAAACACTTTCACACTAAAAAGCAATTAGTTTGCAATTATGTAAAAATAAATCAACCTTTAAGCATCAAATAATACCAAGTAAGTGTGCTTTAAGGGGACATAAAAATGCAGAAAATAATGCAAATAATCAACCATATAATCAACAATTTATGCCATTAAATTCAAGGTTAGAAAAGACTTAAAATTTTTCGTCAAAAACGAAAAACCCCTCGAAAAAGGCATTTCTGGTCAAAATTTGGCTAAAATCACAGTTCCCTTAGGGATAAAAACCTTTCCAGAACACGTTTTCCACCCAAAATTCACTAGTCTTGGGCGAAAATCTGGGTTCTGGGCCAAACTCGACATTAAAAACGGGATTAAAATAAATAAAACAGAGCTACTAATCTAATTAGCAACTTAAACCAGAACATTAAGCCAAAATAAAACCTTGAAAAACATGATTATAAAAATAAACGAGCGGGGCTCCGATACCGCTGTTGGGGTTTAGTGAGTCCGACTCACCGCAAAAACAAACCCCGACCCGAGGAACCACTCGCAATAATTAAAATCATAAAGCATAAATAAATAATCACAAAGAAAAGATAACGAATCTTACCCTCAAAGCGAGCTTCGCCCAAAAACCGGGGCTCTTACTTGAAATCTACGAGCACGTCAAGCGCCGCGCCTCTGACGGTATCCACCCACAAAAGGCGAACACAACTTTAAGGTCCGCTACCTTGGGGTTAGCAAGGTCCGACCAAAACCCGAGTGTTATATGAGTTTAAGAGTTTTCCCAAAAATTATGGAATGCTCTTTTTAACTCCCACTCAAGCAAAGAATTCTCAAGCCATGCCATGACTATTTATAAGGAAGTATGCCTTGTGAATTTCACTCATCTTTCAATGTGGGACTTTTCACAAAAAGATCCCACATGGAAAGATTGGTGAATTCAACCCTTAGTTTAATAAACAAAGGAACAAGTAACAAGTGTCACATGGTTAGGTGTGGACCACTTTCTCACTTAGTCCCCAAGGCATTTCACATGCAATGTGAACTAACCATGTGTCACCCAACCTTGAGCCCCAAGTTGGGTTCGGTTGGCCCATTTTATTTTGGACCGTGTCCATGACCCATCAACCCGGGTCCACGACCGTTGCCACATGTGTTGCCACCGTGGCGCGCCGCCACCGTGGCGCGCCGCCACCATGGCGCTGCCACGTGGCACGCTGCCACTTGGTGGCTGCCAATGTGGCGGCTGCCAACGTGACTGCCACGTGTGCTGCCACATGGCTTTTTTCCATGTGTGCTGCCACGTGGCATGCTCCTATTGGGCATGCATTCCTAGCCTTTCGTGTGGCAAGGATTTTACTTGTTACTTGATGCATTTTCCCGTCTCGCCAAATCCTAAATTTTGGCTCGACATTTGAGATTCTCCGACGCTCGGTTTCGACGCTCCAAGCTCGAATTTCCGACGTTTAAATGTTTAACACTTGGGCGACGAATTAATTTCTTCCGAATTAATTCGTCGAGTTGGTTCGTATATTTTGCTTGGGTGTGACCCAAAGGGTTCAATCAAGATTAAGCTGTAATATTAATTATATTAATATTACTGATCGGAAGCGGCCTCCACCCAGGCATTCCGATCACTTGACCTTACTGAATATATTAGCTTTCTAATAATTCCGAACCCGCTATCAGAATAATACACTTGTTCGAAGGACACCATTCCTTTCACTTCCATTGCGTCCGACTCCTTGACTCGGATAAATAAATAATAAATAAAAGTCTTTGTAATTTTTATTTTTAAGGCTGAAATAAATGTGCTATTATTATTAAAATAAATACGACTTCAAGTATTGGCATCATATGCCTTATTTTGAATAAAAATTATAAATCATAAAAAGCAAAGCACTATTGATCTAATCTCTCTTCTCTTTAGGAACATCCTTCTCTTGGTCAATTAGGTCGGCCTTCACCATTAATGTGTCTTTCGTAGCCCGAACCGTCACACCCCTAGTCGAACTTTCACCCCTTTCACCTTTCTTGAATTTTCTCGGTTGTTTCTCCCTATACACCATCTTTTCCTTACCCTTTCCTTTCACATAATTCTTCTTTCTTGGCATTATAGGAGTCTTAAACTCAATCCCTTGTGTTCTCGGACCTAGACGATCTTTAGGAGGAGCTTTCTTATTTCCAAGACGACTCTTCACATCAGACTTGCGTGATCCGGATCGTTCCCTCCTACTTCTAGGGTTCAACCATGCCTTGTATGCACTAGATAAAGGAGGAGGAGCTTGGTCACTTGCAGGATCGGTCCACAAAGGTCTTCCAATCCAATAAGCCTCGTACTTGTGAACGTTACTTTCATGCAATGATACTTCACGAGGACTATCGTTATAGCGTGGAATTACTTGTTCAAGTCCATACAGCCGCATTAGTCGAGAAGGACAAGAAAAGGTCAGTTTTGAGATACTAGGAACACGGCAATATGGAGTTTCATTTGTGCCAACCATCCTAGTAAGCCTCCACCAAAGCACCACCCAACGAATGGAAAACTCCCTCTTTGCAAAGAAATTTTTCCAATCTTCATACGACATGTTCGCAGAGTAATTCTTTTTCCTGCGGACTAGGTCGTTAGGGCCATATTTTTCAACATCGTCGGGGGCTTCAAATAATTCCAAACGCTCCATCAACCAAATCTACAAAAAAAGAAAAAAAATTAGTGGTGAAAAAAAAGAAAAAAAAAATTTGCAGATTCCCGTGACACGGCAGGTTTCACCGTGTCACGGCAAACACCCACCGTGACACGGTGCCTGTTTTGTGTCATGGGGGCTACTCGGAGCGTATTTTTACCTGCAGTAGTACCAGAGAGCCCTTCCTGATGGCTTTCCGGTCAGCTTTTGCCTCGTCAAGGCCACTAAATGTCTCTCCAAGGCACGTCGGCATAGGAGATCTTCCAGATTCGACATGTTCAAGCACAGACGCTAGACAAGCATGCCCTACCCTACCGTTTGAAAATAGAAGCTTGCTAAACATGCAAAAAATATATGCCCTTCTACGATATACATGATAAGACTCAGAGATAGGGCAATTAAAATATAAATTAGCAAGTTTTACTAAGTCTACCTCATTACCACACACAATTCTATTTAAATCTGGATCTGTTAGATTCAGATGGCGTTCAAAATCTTGGTAATAATATTCACGTAGGGTAGGCATGGCAATAAGATTTCTAGCTGAAAATCCAAAGATTGCGCCGAATTCCTCCGGCAAGGGACAAATTTCATCATAATCAAATTTGAAACAGTGTGTTTCTGGACTCCAATAATCTAATGCTGCCCTAAGAAAATCATGTTCAATAGCTACGTGTCGCAGGGCTAGCAAACCCCTGACATGAAATAATTCTAACTCTCTTTTTTCAGCATTAGTCAAAGAATAAGACCAATCGCGCAATGTATTATCAAAATTCTGAGACATGATTATTGAAATATGAAATTATAAATTATTTTGTGTTTCATAATTATGCATATCATGAATAAACTGGTCTTATTTTATAGCAAAAGCGCTCGGAACTGCCCAGAATTTATCTTTTCATACGCGTAAAACACACCGCTGAGTAATACGCGTCCCGTGACACGGGAAGTTCCACTGTGTCACGGGAACTTTTGCCGTGACACGGCAAGTTCTGCCGTGACACGGTACACAGTGTTGTGTCATGGCACTTCACGCGTTTTCTTTTTTCATCTTTTCCCGTTTCTATCCGAATTTTTTATAGTATTTTATCTTCACCGTTTATTTTTCAGTTTTTCTGAGAGTTTTATTTCTAATAAAATTCTCACCTTTTTTATCTACATTCTTATTATCTTTATTTTATTTATTTATTTATTCATCACTTTAGGATTTTATTTCTTTATCACTTTATTTATTTTTTTGTCTTTTTATTTCTTTTTATTTTGGGGAAGGTAATTTCATTTATTTATTTTATTTCTTTATCATTTTATTTTTGCTTGTCTTTTATTTCTTTTTCTTTTGGGGAAGGTAATTTTATTTTTGCTTGTCTTTTTATTTCTTTTTCTTTTGGGGAAGGTCGGTACCCTCCATTACTCCACTTATGTTTTTTTGTCGCGTCATTAATAAATACACAATCACACACAAAGAGTTTCAAGCACACACTAACACACAATAATAAATACATAAACCGTGAATAATGTACGAAAGAGTCGTGATAAATAAACATGTCAAGTGTCATCATAGTATGTACAAATAAAAACCCTCGGTCAAAAGTCCCTAGAGCCAGAATCAGTATCATCTCCACCCTGCGCATATGGGAACGGTGAGCCGAAGAGTCCCTCCACCATCCGAGTACGGGGAGTAGTGTCTCTACTAGTCCCTGTAACCCCAGTAGTAGTTAAACTCAAGGCCGGACCCGTCCAGCCGGAAAACGGTGTAGACTGGCCCAAAGACACTAGAATCGTTGGTAAAGGCATCGTCCCATACATCGGAACTGAGAACAAGCCCGACACCGGTGGAGGAATCCCGGTCAATGGAGCTGAAAATGAACCAAGATCTAGGGGAGTCAAAACAGACCCAAGCTCAGGTTGTGGAGGCTGTGAAAACGACTGAAACTGCCCCTGACTCTTGCTCGGAAAGCGCTGAGAAGACTGAGGCTGCTGCCACTGAGCCTCCTGAAATGGCTGAGTAGTCTGAGGCTCTCGCTGAGAATGAGAACGCCGGTGAATCTCAGGAGATCGTCTACCACGACCAAGCTCCTCCTCGTCCGAGCCTCTAGGCCTCGACGCGAGCGGGACCTCCGTCGCTCCTGAAAGATACAAAATCAAAAGGTGTCAACAGTGCAAAATAAAACAAATGGTGGAAGTAAAAAAATGAATGATACCTCATGAACATCGCTAGAGCTCCGACAACTTGCACCACGCCGAAGCTTGATAATGCAATACATCAGGGCGTCAACCAGCTTCATGACTCCCATCATCTCCGAGCGGTTAGGCTGAGGATAAAACAACGAAATGTCAGTAACAAGCAGTGTTAAAAGGATGTATAATGCATCAAAGAAAACTCACCGGCTCAAAGACCTCGGGAAGAGACTCCTACGCCTGTCTGTAACCCTCTGGCGCGTCAGCAATATAGTCCTCGGTGATACCGATTGGCCCCGGATAGCGGATAGACTGAGGAGGAATCTCGATCCTCCCCACAGGGCGAATAGTCGTCTGAAAATATGATCGAATAATCAAGTTATTCGACAATTTAAAACAAAGACTAGTAAAGAAGATCCTCAAAAGAAATCATACCTCAGGAAGATGGGGTGGAGAAGCCAGAGAGGGAAGCAAGTCCCGCGCATAGTCACTCTCCATGTGAACAAGCTCCTGCCATGGAAAAGTATAGCGCTCTCCCCTGTTGATCAACTCTCTGATCAAGCGGGAGTCCAGCATCGACTCTGGTGGAGATGAGGGCACCACAAAGCGATCGTCGATATGCTGACGAACGACTCGCTCCCCCAAATACCAGACAAAGCGTCCGGTACCAACCAAAATGGTACGGTATGCTGAAAGACGCAAGGCCTCAAGTAGATCAGTCATCCCGGCCCAAGGACGATACTGGAAATCAATGGCAACCTGGAAACCTTAAAAAGTTAGCGTGAAATGACGGAAACAACGTCAGAAGGAAAAACACAACAAAACTAATCCTTACGCCAACAGAAGAGGTGCCTCGGCGTAGTAGCCCACGCAGTGCTGGGACGGACTCCACCCGCGACTCTCCTCGATCACGCCAGCTGGCCCTGACAGGGAAATCATGGACCGCTCCACGACGCCGGCGAGGAGCCAAGCCTGGGAAGTACTCGTAGAACCATAGTTGCGATGAAAAGTAATCTTTAGCACATGAGTCAAACAAGCTAAAGTGAAACAAAAAGGGAAAAGACCATCACCTCTACGACTCTCCACAGACCATAGACGGTGATGGGAGACTCGTCATTCAGCTGCCGACAACCATGACGTAGCGATAAAAGAACATCCGCGTACCCAAGACTGGCCCAGCTATAGGATCCTATCTCATGGATCCTGGCCAAAGAGGGGAGGTAGCAAAGAAGTACGCGTGAACTCCTATCAGGAGAAAGGGTCATAGAGATCTTAGGATGAAGATCCGCACTCGCTGCTCAGCTGACGTATCCTCCATGTCAATGCCACGAGCCAAAACTGAAGCCTGCTCCGATCGTCCGCTCCTAAGACCACCTCGAGACACTGGTCGGGTCCTGATATGCTGAACGATCGGACCCAACAAATCAGCTGCCTCAGCCGATCCCCAAGATAGATCAGACATCTGACCTACAGCCCGGTCGGTGAAGCGCAGCCCGCTAATCATACTGAAGTCTAGAGGGGTCACCGCCATCTCCCCCCCAAGGAAAATGAAAAGTGTTTGTAGTATCCCAGAAATACTCCAACAATGCGCGAACAACCGTCGCACTGCAACCCCGGGGGCTGCAAAACCCTACAACCGCCGTGTAGAAATCTACTAAACCAGGCGATTCCCATTGGGCGTTCGTAGCAGGATCCCTCGTAATGATCTGGTGAAGTCGAGGGATCAAATCGCCGGCTCCAGAACCGTGGTGGCGAAGCGTGCCATCGACTATGCCGGAGAGTGGGCGATGAGAGACATGGTTTTCACGGCAGAAAACCAACTGGTCTGAAGTCCATGGAGGTGGAACCCACCTACCTCTACTCGTGGATGCCCGAGGCTCAGACTCTAAAGCATCGTCGTCCATGCCCTCAGGAATAGTGGGAGTGTCCTCCCGAAAATCCCGACGCCGACCGTGGGTAGAAAGATCTCAATCTCGTCGCCTAGGCATGCTATTATAAAAATCTAAATGCTTAGCATCATTTCCTAAGACATTTAATTCAAGTTGCATATTTATAAAAATAAAAATCTAAATACTTAACATCATTTCCTAAGTTATTTAGTTATTTATGTAATTATATGCTAAATTTTTATCTCCAGGCTAAAAATTGGCAAAATTATGGTATTTAGTTTCTCCATGACAAACTAATACTACAGTTCTCCTAGCCGCATGATACTATGTTCTCCATGACAATATAGTACATACGCAAAATATGTTTCGAAGATGCACAAAAACAATGAATCAACACATCATGAAGTACTTCACAAGGTTTACCACCATTTTTTCACCATTTCAAGTACAAAGAAGTAACATGAACATCATTTCACAAAGTAGTATCCAAAAATGATGATTTGCTCAATTCTCCATCAAATCATGCAATTTTTGTCTCAAATTTCTTACAAACACACATACATACATATACAAGTAAAATCATGGCAAGAATTTCAACATAAAACCTCAAAATCAAAAATCCCCAAATTGATTTTTAAGGGTTTTTCATGAAATTACTTATTTAAAGCAAATTCGAGACAAAAATCAATGGAAACTTACATGGATTCTTGTAGAGAGTCGAAAATGAGGAAACTTACATGGATGCTTGTAGAGAGTCGAAAATGAGGAAAATAGCAAGAAATTAGAGGGAAATTGGTGGAAATTTGAGCTCCAAAAGCTCGAAAAATTTCGAAAATCTGCGAAACCGCCGTAACACGGTTGAGCTTGGTCGCGGCTCGGTGGAAGATCGACGTGTCACAGGGACCAAATCCCGTGTCACGGGAAGAACAGAGGTCGCCGGAGCCTTGTTGTGCAGCAGCAGCACCGACGAACAACAACAACAACAACGACAGTAAGCAGCAGCAAATAACAGTAGCAGCAGCTCGCAACAAAAGCAAAAGCAAAAAATAAATAAAAATAAAAGAGAGAATGGATGCAGGACCGCCGCGACACGGTGGTGGAAACCGGCCGACAGGAAGACAAGCCGAGCGCCGGTGAGCAGTCGACGAGGCACGGCAAACCAAGGGAAATTTTTTTTTGAACTTTTTGAGTAAGAATCAGACGAGAAAGAGAATGGCCAAAATGAAAAAAAATGTTGATATTTAAAAGTAAGAAATCCCGTGCAACGGACCCCGTTCCCACGCAACGGTCAGATTTTTTTGTGGTGCACAAGCTTTGACCGGTCAAAGATGCTCTTTTGACCGTTTTTCAGCCATTCGGTTCCCGTGACACGGGACCCCCTTGCCGTGTCACGGGAAGCAGCTCCGCGTGACGGGGGGTCCTTCCCGTGTCACGGGAATTTTTTTTCTTGTGACACGGCGATTTTTGTTCAGTTATTTGCGAATATTCTGACATTTTGAATGAAGTTGCACGATTTCTTGCATAAATCGGATAGTTTTTTTTTGCTGGAATTACGCGAAAAATTCTAACTGTTACTTAAAGAGGACTAAAATTACCATTTTACCCCTAGCAAGCATCAAAGTCTATTTTTCGGCATGTTAAGCACCTAATATGCTCGGATAATCGGCTTAAAATTGTGAATCATCTGCGGCCCACGTTCGGGGATAACCGAACCATCATACACTTACAAATTTCAGCAATAGTCGGCTTTCCTCAGGTTTGGAAAGCATTATCGGTGGATTTTTCTTTAAGTATATAAAACCGCCAAGTCAGCTTTCCTCAGGCTTGGAAAGCATTATCGGTGGATTTTTCTTCAAGTATAGAAAACCGCCAAGTCGGATTTCCTCAGGCGTGGAAAGCGTTATCAGTGGATTTTTTCTTCAAGTATAGAAAACCGCCAAATTCCTTTGTCAGCTTTCCTCAAGCATGGAAGGCATTATCGGTGGATTTCTTCAAGCATAGAATGACACCAAATTCGTTTATCGACTTTCCTCAGGCATGGAAAGTATTATCCGGTAGCTTTCTTCAGGCTTAGAAAACTACCAAACTCTTCAGTCGGCTTTCCTCAAGCATGGAAATCGTTTCAACAAATGTCACTCGGTGGATTCCTTCAAGCTTAGGAAGCTGCCAAATTCGTTTGTCACCAATACACGGGTGCCAGATACATATTCTATCCCTTTACTCTTTTATCTGTAGAACTAACATTTTTATGCAGGTATCGGCGTATACAGAGTGATTTAGGATCGCAGAACGTCTTAAATCATTCTCCGTCCCTATTGGATACTTTGACTATCGTTTTCAAAACTGACGTTTCTACAAACTCAGTCAAAGTGGGGGCTTCTGTAGACACCTAAAAATGTCTCCCCAAAACCAAACCCGATGATGAACAACCTTTCACCGCCACTATTGGTCGGGTTTAGTATTTAATCCCGAGAGTGCTTAAAAAATTGTATTTTATTAAATTCATATTTTTGAACAGTCCATGGATTAGTCTTGATGTTTGGTAAAAGCATAGTTTTAATTTCAGCCCAAACTTATTAATTAATTTTTAGCCCAAACCTTTTTATTTTATTGTTTTATTATTTTTGGCCCAAACCCTTTATTTATTTTTATTTAATTATTTTATTATTTTAGCCCAAATAATAATAAGTTAGAAAAGGCCCGAAATTATCAATCGGCACTTAAAAAGCCGAAGGAAATTAGGGTTAAAAATGTATTTAGACGGAAAAACGGGCTGGAATTTCCCGCGCCACGGCAGGTACCTACCGTGTCACGAGAATCCTTCCCGTCTGACGGTGGGATTTCCCGTGACACGGGAGGTCTGCCGTGACACGGGACATTCCGTGTCTTTTCCGCGTAAACCCTTAACGCGTTTTTTATTCCGTTTTCTGAAAATTTCCCGCGTCACACCAAAAATGTACCGTGTCACGGGAAAGTGTACCGTCTAACGGTAGAGCTTCCCGTGTCACGGTACCGTTTGACCGTGTCAAGGGATACTTTTTTAGGGTTTTTATCATTTTAGGGTTCCGTGTGCTCCCTCAGCACATTTTCCCTATAAATACCCCCTCATTTCTGATGTACGGGGCACCAAGTAATTTTCTTATTTTATTTTCTCTCTTCTATGCTTTAGCCTAAACACTAGCCCACCCTTTTCTATTCAAAATTCCTTCATCAAGCACTCAAAGGAGTCCATATTTTACTCGAGGTTCTGTCCTTAAGCCAAGGCGTGAAAGGTAGAACTGTTTGAGGGTTTGGCCCCAAAATCAACTTAATTTAATTTAATTTAATTTAATTATTGTTTTATTATTTCCTTGAAGTTACTAACTCGTTTATTATTTTGTATTTTCAAACAAACAGAATCGAAGTAAGGATCATGCTCCTTTTGTTTTTATTATTTTTCTAACGATTTTATGTTATTGGAATTGTGATTAAATTGGTTTTAATATTAAAGTTGTTATATTGTTATTATGATCACCATATTGCATGTTAAAGGGAATATGTAATTGAAAATCACGCCTAATAAGATAATTTGGACAACCGGTTTAGGATCCTTTTTAATCTTGTTATTAAATCAAGTAATCACAATATTTTAGAATTATGTGTGCATTAATATTCAACCAATTTAGTTAAATAATAGTTTGGAGCGAATTGAATTATTGTTTGTATGCCTTTGAGATCACAGGAATACTTTTCAATATAAGAATCCAGTAGAGGCCAATACGGGCGAATGTGACTCCATGACTCACTTCGTACCATCATCCCCAATCCTCCTTTCGTGGTTCCGAACCATATGGAGTTAGTAATCTCATTGATTATGAATGGGGTGTAACCTTCACGGGTCAATCGTTATTGCCTTCGGTGTCCCTTTATTCGTGGTTGCCTTTTATGATCCGTGAACGGTTTACAAGTTCCTTAAAAACTTGTTGGCGGCTCCCTACTTTCCTTGTCCCTAATCGTGTCCCTTATCGTATATGTCAATTCCCACTTCCTATGAGTGCCAAGCATATTCACACATGCTTTTAACGTAGGCGCACTTCAAACGACGCCTACATGGTGCATGTTTGTTGTTTCGCTTCTTTTGCTTGGATATTAGGTTATATTACTTTAGTAGTCCTTGGTATTGGGTATGTGTAGGAACTAATAATGTATTACCTTCTGTTGGAAATAACAGCTAGCACTTTAGGTTTAAGTATATAGTGAATTATGTAATGTAATCACTTTGATAATTGCTTCGCTTGTATGGATTATGCAATCTAAGTTTAAATATATGTTGAATTATATAATGCAGTTACTTCTATTTTTGTATGGATTTGGTAATCGATTTGCCTTTACACATTTTTGTATCATGCTATTTGACAGAATCTAAGTTTAACTATATGTTGAATTATATAATGCAATTAATTCTATTTTCATATGGATTTGGTAATCGATTTGCTTTTACAGATTTTTATATCATGTTATTTTACAGTGTACTTACAAGATATCTTTAGTTAGTTTTGATTGCTTTCTAGTTCATTTGTTTAGTAAAGAGGTTGTTTTGTTGCAGTCATCTATTTCATGGGATTTCTTAAAAGTAGCTGCAGTGAAAAGTTATGGGTTTGAGTAGATGAAACAAGGATATTAATTCAGGTATTAGTAAATGCTATAATATGTCTTGAATATATTAGATTGGTGTTATATTGTGCTTTATAACCTCTATTTGAAAAATGGTGTTGTAGATCGATTGTTACGAAAACAATCATCTTCAGGTGGGTACAACACTAAACGCCTAAGGAATTTACAGACAGAAACTCGAAGTGAAATAGAAAGGTATAGCATGGATATGCAGTTAAGATGAGCTGTTTTTTTGTTTTGCATTTAAATGTTTTCAGCTATCTAGATAGAAATCCTTTTATCTTGTAGTTGAATCATTCTCTATAAGTTCTATATTTACTAAGAACTATGTAAACAGGATACGCAGCATTATAAATCTCTGTATGTAAATTATGAGCTTTGTAAAGTGGATTATCAAGGCCATTCACAGGAAAAAAAATGATTCTCATCATATGAGTTACTTTTTCTAGGATTCAGATACAGCCTGCTGCTAAGGGTGCAAAGATACCGCGCACCAGGCATCCTGTCACAAGTAATTGCATTTAATCTCAGTTTTACAATCTTCACTATATATTAGCCTTTTGAATTCATGAATTCATGTATGAATATTTCTAAATATGGTATGGTAAGAAGAGGTCCCTGATGCTATGATTGGCCAGAAACTTCCTGTAGAGGCCTATAAACTTCCCCAGCCTACTCAGTGTTGCAAGTGTGGAGCGCTTAAGTTTTCCTTTGAGACACTACATTTCTGTTACTGTGATGGTGAGGTAAAGATTGCAACAAATGAGCACCCTCCTGAGTTGGTGAGGTTGTTCACCTCTATGGATGAAGATGCAAAGCACTTCAGAATATATATATGGTTGTATAACAACATGTTTACTTTCACATCATTAGGTGGAAAAATGGATGCCAAGAAAAAAAAGGGAATTTATGTGTTTAAGTTGCATGGCCAAATCTATCACAACCTTTCTGGTTTAATTTCAGGGGATGTGGGGCCAAAATATATGCAACTTTATTTCTATGATGGTCAGGTGGAGGCTGAGAAATGTCTGCGTTATTTCCCAAAACTAAGGGAAGATGTCTTGGCTATTCTTATGAAAGTCACTGAACTAAATCCCTATGCTAGGTTCTTTCGATCATTAAAGGACATTTCAATTAATGAGTCTACAGAGATTGTGCTTAATAAGACAACAGTACCAGATCAGCGCGTTTACAATGCTCCTTCCACTGATGAAGTTGTTGTCATCTGGCCAGAGAACACTTCTTCAAGTGAATCAGAAAGTCTTCACATTTTGGTTACAGGGAAAAAAGATTCATCTCATAGGATTATGCATTATTATGGATGTTACGATCCATTGCAATATCTACTGCTTTTTCTGTATGGTGACTGTGGTTGGACACAGGGGCTTAAAAAATGTCTAAGGGTGGAGAACAACAGCTACAGACTCAAACAAATCCTGTTTCTTCATGCATTGTACATGTTACTGAGGATTTGTTGGAAGAGGAGGCTAGACGTAAGTGTCTTCTGCAATTGATGCCTTTTATAAGAATACTAAATGTTTGCTTTTTCTAAGAAAATAAAAGGTATTAGGCAATAGATGAATCATCTAAGTGAATGAAAGGTTGTTGGAAAAAATGCAACACTCGAACATAGTATAGGTAAAGTTGCAGTATTTTGAAAGGTATATACTGTAGCTTATATATTGCCTGGCTTATTTGTTGTTGTTTTGTGTATAGGTGCCAATGGAGGTTCATCAAAATCTGATAGGCAAATTTCAGCTAGGGAATATTATGCGTACAAGCTTCAGTGTCGTCCCAATAATATGCTACTTAGAGCAGGGAGGTGCTTCCAACAGTATATTGTTGATATATATGTGAAGGTAGAAAATACTCGTTTGGATTTTTTTTCGTAAAAATCAGCAAACCATAAGAGCTGATCTTTATCAGGGAATACTTGATACTATTAAATCTGGAGAAAATTGTGCAGCAAATGTTGGTCGTAGAGTGATCTTACCTCCAACATTTATTGGTGGCCCTAGGGATTTAAAGAAGAGATATCTAAATGTTATGTCATTAGTTTAGAGATTTGGGAAGCCAGATTTGACAATGACATTGTAGAAAATTGAATTAGGAATGAAAAAAACCTTCTAGAAGATTCTAGAAGACTAAAACCATTCCTAATTGCATTAGGAATGATAAATCATATTAGGCCCTCCCCTAGATCATTGGGCTGCATATAAGGCTCAAACTGGGCCCAGTTTAGTAAATTGGTCATAACTTCCTCAATATTCATCGGAATTGGGCTTATAATATATCATTGGAAAGGTCTTTGCAAGCCCTATCCAACTAAACTACTATTGGACCCATATCATGGACCAACAAAACTAGATTGTCTGTTTTCTTAAAATAAAGTTTTCAAAAACAGAGAGAAGAGAAAATAAATTAAAACTTTCCGCAACACTAGACTTTCCACACTTTCGCTTCATTCGATTATGATTCGACGTGAAAGGTACTCATCACTGGGTTTGGTTTTGGGGAGACACAAATGGGTGTCTACAGAAACCCCTACTTTGATTGAGTTTGGAGAAACGCAAGTTTTGAAAACAAAAGTCAAAGTATCGATAGGGACGGAGAATGATTCAGAACGTTCTGCGATCCTAAATCACTCTTGTAACGCCGATACCTGCAAAACTAGCGTTAGTTAAATAGATAAAAGGGTTAAGAAACGTGTATCTTGTACCGTCAAGCACACGTCTCTGAAAGTAACCGATTCGTTTTGATGACCTCCTACAAGCTAGAGAATTTCATCCCGCTTGAAAACCGCTATGCCCGTAACTGCTTCCAAATTACAAGATTGCTTTGCTTGAAACGATCCTCATCCGCATGGATAATATTCCACGTCCAAAGGAATACTATCGAAGATTATTTCTCTTGAAACAATCTCCATCCGCATTATGACCATCTTCCATGCCTAAGGGAGCATGATCGAAGACAACTTCGCTCGAAATTACCTCCAGTTGTTTGTGATAACTCTCCGCAAGCTAGGGAACGCCACCATGTTGTTTCGATGTTCACTCGTCTCTGAATAAAGAGCTTCTTTTTTATATGTTCAATTTCCGCTGTGATAGTCTTCGAAAAGATCACTGCTTTTTAATCCTTAATGCTGCTATGCCAGTACGTCGACGCTTTGTTGCTTGTGAACCAGTATGTCGGTGCTTTTGTTGTGATGACAATTCTCTTTTCTTTGGGAATAGTTGCCAACACAACTCTTGTATGATGTATGACAATCCGATTTAGGGAAAGTTGTCAATGCTTTGTAGCAATCCATCCTTGGAAATGTTGCCACGATGAAGCGACAATCCGTACCTCGGAAAATTTGCCAAAATCCAATTTTTGGAAAAGTTGCCAATGCTTCGTAACAATCTTTCATAAGAACTTTGCTACGATCGACAATCCACATCTTGGAATATAACTCTTGAAAGCAATCCACCTTGGAAATTCGCCAACGCTATGCGACAATCCTTTTAGGAAAATATTGCCACAATTGACAATCCGCGTCTTGGAACATTTGCAAGAAAGAGTTGACTGACAATCCACTTCAGGAAAATTTGCCACTTGCTGAAATGAATGACAATCCACGTTGAGGAACTTTTGCCGAAATTTATGATGAGTAGAGACCTACGACAATCCTTTGGGAAATTTTTCCATAGGGAATTGGGTGTATGACAATCCAATCTCGGAAAACTTGCCAGCGATCTATGAATGTATGACAATCCGAACTTGGAAAAACTTGCCAACAAAGAAGGAGCACGACGATCCACGCTTGGAAACTTTGCCATGGATGACAATCCAATCTTTGGAACAATTGTCGTTGAAGAAGATGCACGACAATCCATTTTTGGAAATATTGTCAGTTAGGGATAACAATCCAATTTTTGGAAAAATTGTCGTTTAAGTGCTTGCTTTTAAACCGATTGTAATGAGCCAGTGTTTTAGGCGCTTAAGCTAAGTGAGACGATCTTTCGTCAGGTCGATCACTTAGACTGTAATCAAACCGACTACTTAATCATGTCAAATCGCTTATAGGGGCTAACTGGCGTACCAAGGAACCCGAAATTGTTGTATGAAGTCGAAATCACCTTTTTGAGAGGCTTCGAGCTCTGTCGCTACTGAAATATCTCTGGCGCCAGGCGCTGGAGTAGGGTCTTCCCTGTTCTGCTGCACCTGTATTTATTTTTGACTATAGAACTTTGCCAATTTCTTTTTAATCATATTAGGGTTGACCTAAGGTTTAATGTTGCTTGACTCATCGACTTGACACGACTCAAGGTATAAACTTGACTCTCTGTGATTGACTGACTCGAGGATGACTCGACTCGAAGTAAAATGACACGTGTGACTCGTGACCCGTGTGTGCATAGTGTTGACTCAATGTGACTCAAAAATGCAAAAAATCAAAAAATTTCCGTCATTTTTGTGGAGGGTACCGACTTTCTCCCAAAAAAGAAAGACGCGAAAAAAAAATCGAAGTTTTGAAGGTGCATGTTGAATGAGCTTAGTCAAATGTTCTTTGATACTATCTCTCAAGGTGCAAGGATTAATCCATCCTAGGTTTGTTCAATTGTTGACTCAATGATGAAAGTATTTAGGTAGCTTAGGCACGGAGGCTAAGCACTTCATACTTCTATGTAATGACAATTATAAGTGATGAGTGATGTGACAAGGCATGCTTCATCGTTATGTTAAGATTTCATGACAAAGGGTTCCTAAGGGAAGTATATTTGGTCATGTATCTGTGCGGTGTGTGAAAGTGACACTAAAGTTAGGCCGCAAGGGCTAAGTGTGTGGAAAAATATTATTTTTAGAAGAGTCAAATGATGGTGACTCTTAGGCTAGGTAAGCTAATGATATAAGGATCAAGCCCCCAAGTCTAGCTCTAAGTAAATAGGGATGAGCGTAGGATATCCTTTGATATGATCATGGTGCATGTGTGTGAATGTGAATATGAATGCATGTTTATTACGGCCGCACCTCGATGTGAGGTTGCCTAGGTATCCGTTAGGAATCAGGCCGAACGTAGCTCTAGCCGAACCTTGCACAAGTGTGTATACCTCAAAAAAGGTCTTTTTAAGGGTTGTAACGTGGTTAGGCTAAAGGTTTGAAGAAGAAGGGGATAAAGGCTCAAGACCCTAGATAAGCCCCCAAGGTGTGCAACCTTGCTTTTGAATATTTGTATTTTTATGCTTGAGGTTTTCTACTCTTTTTTTAGCTCTTTCTTTTGTTTTAGCATTTATTTCATTTTTATAAGTGTGGGCAATCTCGATCATGCGGTCTATCACTCACTTGGCATTCATGTTTCTCGAGCACTCGATAAGAGACGCAATCTGAGACGTGTTCATATCGAAGATATTTTCATATCAAAGACATTGGAACACTTGCCCTTTTGTACACTTTTATTTATTTTTTTTGCTTTTTCTTATTTTTACTATTTTTTGAATTTCTGAAATCACTCAAGCTTTGTTCTTTGAAAATTGCATAAGTTGCACATCATCCCATCCCAAGGTTAGATAGATGTAGGTTGAAAAAAGAAAGGTTTATCGTTAGACGAGGCTCAAAGTGGTTTATGAAGAAAGGATTTGTAAATTAGAAAGGCGAAAGGAGATATGATGTGGCTACAAGGGGTGCCTCAAATCATTGGTATACCTTGTGCTTAATTCGACATGGATTATTTTTTCTTTTTTTATTTTTTTTATTATATTTGATGCAATATAATGAAATGATCATATATAAGGAAATAAATGCTCATTTTATTAAAAAAGGAAAAGAAAAGAAAAACTACAAAAATAATCTAAAGGAAAAGAAAAGGTGCCTATGCTAGACTTATTGGGGAAAGGAAAAAATGAAAAAGAAATAGAAAAAGAGGTCATGAAATCTTGTCATTGAAGCTCGCCTCTTGTCTTGTGTTGTTTGCTCCGACATCATCCAGTCTTCTCGCTAGCTAGAGGCGATGGGATCTTATTTGCCTCTATGAGATCTTGAATGAGGTTTTGAAACCTGTAGCATTCATCAGTAGTATGACCGCGCCCTCGATGGTACTTGCAATAGGAGTTTGGATTCCATCTTGAAGATCGATTTTCTGGTGTTGGATCCTCGGTAGGGCCAATAGGTTTGATTAATCCTCGATCATAGAGACAATCGAAAGCAGCATCGTAGGTCATTCCAATGGGTGTGAACTCTCGCCTGGGTTTCCTTTTAGATCCTTGATTATCTATGGCTAAGACACCATTATGGTCAAAGGTACTAACATTATTACTAGAGTGGGCGTTTTTGGAAGAAGAAGGATTGTCGTTCTTCTTTCCTTTCCAGCCACCGTGGTTACTATTGTTAGTAGCTTTTTGCTTTGCGAGGTCG